AAAGACACAATTCAACATTGCTCGGCTTCGGTGCACTTTGTGACCGAGATGTTTAAAGTACGTTAAATCAAGCGACATTTACACACACACAGACAGACAGACACACACACACACACACACACACATACACATCCTGCCTTTTATAGATAGAGATTAAGAATTGGTTCCAGAATATAAAGGAAATACTGTTAGCTCTGTCTATTAGGCAACACCGAATTTTATAAAGCCATTTTAAACATTCAATTTGTTACAATTTAAGTTTCCCTTTTAATTCGTTTCTAAATCTAATCTATAACTTTTCGCATCCGAGCACTGACAAAATCAAAGCGTTATGATTTATTTTTCAGAATATTTATTTCGAAATGTAAATTTGCAAGAGAATAAAATTAAGTGAATGGAAGTAGCTGAAAAGTCATACTTTTGAGAAGGGAGTCAACGAAAGGAAAGTCTTGCGGGAATTGATCGAACCTAAATGACATGCGCAGGTACGTGAAGAAACATTTTCAGACTCTCACCCGGTGAAAGAGTAAGAGAAACTCGGCAAAATATATAATTCAAAAATATTTGGTATGCTAATTTCGACAGAGTTCATTTCGCGTGTTTTATCTTGCCAGTTTTTCCGAATGTACTCTCATTATATATTTATATATATATATATATATATATATATATATATATATATATATATATATATATATATGCAGTGTTACATTAGAACATGCATATATCCACTACAAAATTGTACATTTTTTGTTTCAACTTCAAAAAAGGGAAAACTTTTTTTAAACGTTTCATCAGGTGGGATTTTACGGTGTTAATCTTACGAGTCTATTTTATGCATTGAGCACTATTTTTAAATTAATGTTTTGAACACTATAACCCTACTGTTCGTTCTCCTACACTTTGATATATATATATATATATATATATATATATATATATATATATATATATATGTGTGTGTGTGTGTGTGTGTGTGTGTGTGTGTGTGTGTGTAAATTGTCATCACAGACAGACTGTTTTCGCAGCTCATCAGTGATTTCGGCATCAGTCGAAGAATCTACCCCCTAACTATTGACGCACGGTACAGAGGAAGCTGGATTTTAGCGTATTTCTTTTAAACAAACACAATTAGTGACGGAGAGAACTCAATTCATTAAAAGAGTCTTGCATTAACAGCAGTAGTAGTGACTGTGTAAAAATTCGCACTTTCTCCCCAGAGTGCACAACCGAATTAATTTTCGGGAACATTATATAGTCATCAATAGACAGACTGTTTCGCTGCATCACAGCTCATCACTTTGGCCAGACAACCGATTGTTCAAGCCGGGAATATATATATATATATATATATATATATATATATATATATATATATATATATATATATATATATTTAAACAGCATATTTGCATTCAAATAGGTGCTGTAAACCAGGCTGTGCGGATGTTTTAATGGATAACGGCTTAGAATTTTTAATCGGAAAGCGAGTTTCTATTCAAATTGGGTTCGTTATATTCATTTATGCACAAATAGCCTTGGAAAAGGTAAGAATCTACCTTTTCCCCCCAAACTATGGGTTAATTTAATAATTAATCATAGATGGGAGAGAAGCTACTAAACGGTTATTATCCCACCTCCAAATAAATTCTAACAGTCTAAAAATATTTTTATGGCTTTAAATAACCTGCGATGCGTTGATAAACCGTAAAAACAATTCAAACACTCAGAATAGTCTATGTTCTTCCAACCATTTACACAATCACATTAGGCAGGTTATGCACTGATTTCCTTTGTCTGTCTTGCCCTCAAAACGTCCCGTGAGTGTCAAATTTTCAGAGCCTTCTTTCTTCATTATGTGCCGCAGAAATTTCAACCCCCCACCATTTTCTGAGTGTAAGTATAAATATCCTTTTTGCTTCTGTACGGTACGATGAAGGGTAGCGCCTCGGATTGGGGAATCGGAGAGCTGAGTTCGAATTCCAGTCAGATCCAAAGCATTCACTGACGTGCTTATACCCTTGGGAAAGATATGAATCCTCTTTTTCTCCCCTCCCCCATCTGTTGGTAAATAGCAGGACAGACAGGCTTCTATAGCCTTAGATGACAACTCGTCTACCGCAGAAAGAAATGGCAACCTACTGCAGGAAAAATCTGCCTCGTCAGTCATGTATCGAAAGATACATAATCACCTAAGCGTGTATCATGCATGGCTCATAATTGAGTGACTTAATCTAAAACTTCGTCGTTACTCACATGTTCAGTCCATGGTATTCGCAGCATCCTTCTGTAGAACCACAATTCTATTGCTTGAAGTCTCTTCTTCAAACTTGAGAAGATTTTCCAGCATTCACTGCTATAGAGGAGGACCGATATTACATAACATTTTAAATACAGACAATGAGGTATTCCAGAAAATAAAAGGCGTGGAAAGATACGACTCAAAGAAAGAAAAACACATGATTGCAAATGGCTGCAACGCATGAAGAGGAATAAATTAAAACAGAGAATATCAAGGGAGAGTTACGGGAATAGAAAAGAAATTGTAAAACAAATGAGTAAAAAAACAAAACAAAAACAAAAGCGGTCAATTAATGACTTCAGTAAGAGTCAGGTTGCAGGTAGAGATGGAAATCAAGTAAGTTTTCATTTCGAAAGGAAACAGAAAACCGCCACAAATTTACGTTGCTTGCTCCTAAAAACATGGCGATAAAACCTCCGCTGTAAGTGGCTTGCACATGCGCTATTACAAAACGTATCTGCGCATGCGTCGTTACAAAAAGAAAAAGGGAGAAATGCAATAATAAAAGGCTGCTATCTTTACTCACTTGTCCGTATCTTCATGTGAATGTGATCAAATTACCTCCCTTGATTAATCTGCATCAAACGTACAAAAGGAAAAAGCACTGAGGATAGGATCATTAATCGCCATCAGAAGGAAAGAAAATGAAGGCGAAACAAATAAGGATAAGCAAATATAATAGAACAAAGAAGCACAAGATAAAATGGAGTGAAACTGACGATGAAGAAGAGGGAAAAAGAATAGAATTTTACGATCACGGTGAAGAAAATCTGCTCTTCACGAAGCTTTCCCATTTGGTACCTCGAATTTAATTTATATTTTCCTACTTATTTTATCTTCGGCATTTTTTCATCTCTTTCTTCCAGGTATTATGTAACACCGATCCTTGCATATGTCAATGAATGCTAGACAATCTCCTTACATTTAAGAAGAAACTTGAGACAAAAAAAACTGGTATCTCAATTTGAATTTCAGCATAGTACTTGAATAGCAGCCACGTATTATCATTTTACTGTTTAATTTGCTAACTGTAACCGTAAGTTCTATTTTAATAGGTCCTTCTTCCACAATTTTTTCCGACGGTAATATATTTCGTTTTCTTCTTTCACTCTCAAGTACGATCTTAAAAAAATTAAATGCAAAGTCAATCGTCGTGGCCAGAAATTTGGCCGAGAGACTTTTGGCCGACGGACATTTCGCTGAAGAATTATAAGTAAAAATAGTAACAAGCAATACTTTAAGTATTTTAATTAGCAGTATTATAAGGTAGAATGGGACTAATAATACCACTGAATTTCAATTGATTAAATTACTAAATCTAAATTTAAAGTTAAAAGTTTTCTTATTTCAATATTTGTTTATTGAAAATAGTAGTTTGAAAAATATTTGAGAGTATTTGGGTAAAAAGTAGCACCTAATTATTTAAATTTGTATTTAACAGTAAGATAAAAGATAGTTCATCCCTTTAAGATAATGATCATTAAAAGCGAAATTGAAAGATCTTTTATATCGTAAATGCTTAAGATGTTTGCTGTAATAAAATGTGCCTTTTCTCAAAATACTTGCAGTAATATTTGAAAAAAAATATAATGTATAAAGAATAGATTTAAAAAAAAAATTTCTCAAAAAATTATAAATTATTTCAGTAAATAAATATAAATATATGTAGCACATTACGATAAAGAGTGTGACATACATTTAAGTACACCACTATATTTTAGGTTGAATGTCCATTCTGTTAAATGTCCGTCGGTCAAATGTCTGTCGGCAAAATGACGTCATTTCCTGCCGTTTCAAATCTTCATTTTTTGTTCTTCCGCCAAAGTAAAGTTTATCATTTTCATTCACTCTGTTGTTTTTCATCCCTTGCGTCGGAGTGGCATAATCGCCTTGCTTGGGGTATAATGATTTAAAAAGAAAGAAAGAAACAAACAAACAAACAAGAAAAAAGTAATAGAGGAGAAGCTGGGTGAAGTAAAGGAAAAAGGAGGAGGCCATTTAAAAGAGAAAAAAGGAATAATATGGGGAGGAAGACATGGTGAAGAAGAAAAGAAAATTATGGCACATAAAAAATATTGATGAAGAAGAAATGACACGAATTGACGGGGAAGGAAAATAGCAAAAGAAAAAAAAAAGATTAAGAAAACTGTTGAGAAAACAGAAGAAAAGAAGGAAATATGGAAAAAGAAAGAAATCAGACGATGAAGAAAAATGGAAGACAATAACAAAAAGAAATAAATTAAAAAAGAAAGACGAAGATGAAAAAGAATGGAAGAAAATAAGGAAAAAGAAAAGAAAAGTCAAGAAGGAAATCCGATGATGAATGAGAATGGAAAGGGGGACGGAAAAAGAAAAAAAATATTTTGTCGGGAAAAACGAAAATGAAAAAAAAAATCCTGAAAATAATGAAAACTAAAATAAAAAATTATTAATTACGAAAGAAAGACAACAATACAGGTGATTTTTTTAATTATTTATTTTCTCTTGGGGATACTAAACTCTTTGCAGGATATTTACAAACAGAAAATATTCAAATGAAAGTCCTACTAATTAACCCATAGCTGGGGGAGAAATGTTAAATTCATACATTTCCCTATCGTATTTAAAATCGTATTTAAGTGAAAATAACGAAACCAACTCGAATTGGAACTTGGATTTTCGATTTCCAATCCCGAGCCATTACACGAGCGTCATATTTTACAGCATCTACTATTCCCAAGCGGTCACCCATCTATGTACTGAGGAAACTCGACGTTGCTTAACTTCGGTGATCGTAGGAAAACCGGTGTAACAAAATGATATGGCCGTAAGCCAATGTAGGCGAAACAAAAAAAAAGAAGGAATCTTGATTAAGAAAAAAAAAAAGACGACGAAGAAGGATAGAGGAAGAGAAAAAGTAAAGGAAAAGAAAGAAAAATTGTGTTTAATAATGAAAGACGACGATGAAGGTGAAAAAATGAAAATGAAGGAAAAGAAAAGGATGGACATTTTATTAAGAATCAAACGCGAAATGGAAAGACAGGAAATAAGCGATAGAAAAGGAAGCATTGATTAACTCTCTGCGGCTGCGCGGTCTCACGTTGACTGCTGACCTGAGATGGAACAAATACATTGAGTTAATTGCTTCGTCCATCGCAAGGAAAGTTGGCTCCCTGTGCCGCGCCAGGAAATTTTTCTCTCCGGAATCGATCCTCCAGATCTACAAATCAACCATTCGCCCTTGCATGGAGTATTGCTGCCATATATGGTCTGGAGCCCCTTCTGTTTGCCTCGGGGTTCTTGATAGAGGCGGATATGCAATATGTGGCCCTGCTCTGGCATCTCGTCTACAGTCACTTTCTCACAGACGCGCCGTCGCCTCCCTCTGTCTGTTTTACAAATACTTTCATGGTAATTGCTTTGAGGAGCTGCATTCGCTGGTTCCCAGACTTCATGAATTCAAGCGTTCGACGAGGCTGGCATCCCGCTCTCACCCCTTCACTGTCGAAACTCCTAAATGTAGCCGTCTCTTCTACTCCAATAGCTTCATGTCTCGCACCTCTCGCCCGTAGAACTCCCTTCCCTATTCCATTTTCCCTCTGAGCTATAATCTCCATCTATTCAAATGTAATGTCAATCGACATCTCCAGTTGCCTTGATCTATCCACTACCCTTCTCCTCATAGCCTCTTCTATCACTCTGATCTTGCTCTAAATTTTCTGTAACCCCTTGCGTCCTAGTGGCTTCCCGCCTTGGTTGGGGTGAAATGCTTAAAAACTAAAAAAGAAGTAAAAGATGACGAAGAAGAAGAAATGAAGTTGCTGCATAAGAAGAAACGAAAGAAAAGCCAGGAAAGAAAGAAAATGAGAAAAAAATATTGAAGGAAATAAGGAAAAAGCGAAGAAAGAAATCTTGGGAAAGAAAGACGACCATCAATGGGAATGGACGAAAATAAGGAAAGGGAAGTCAGAAATATTGATTAACCCTTTGATCACTGCGTTCCTGAACAATTTTAACCCTTCTGCCTGAGCTCTTGAGTCAAAATTCACAAATAATTCGTATGTAATGTTTAAGGTAGCTGGGTATAAATCATTTTTCTCTACTACCGTTTAAGCGGTTGCTGGGCAGTACGTCATTTTTCTCTACCACCGTTTAACCGGTTGATGGCCTGTACGTCATTTTTCTCTACCACCGTTTAATCGGTTGCTGGGCTGTACGTCATTTTTCTCTACCACCGTTTTGGCGGTGCTCAAAGATCAAGAAGTAAAAGAAGCAAGAAAAGAAACAGTGTCTTTCTTTCTTGAGAGAAGGAAGACATATTGATTAACCCTTTGAATCCAGCGTTCCAGAACAATTCGAACCCTTTCTGCCTGACCTCCTGAGTCAAAATTCGCAAATAATTGCTCTGTAATGTTTCACGGTAGATATAAAAATAGTTACAAGTGTTTAACCACCGTTCAACCGGTGGCTGGGCATTACGTCATTTTTCTCTACCACTGTTCAACCGGTGGCTGGACATTACGTCATTTTTCTCTACCACCGTTCAACCGGTGGCTGGGCATTACGTCATTTTTCTCTACCACTGTTCAACTGTGGCTGGACATTACGTCATTTTTCTCTACCACCGTTCAACCGGTGGCTGGACATTACGTCATTTTTCTCCACCACTGTTCAACCGGTGGCTGGACATTACGTCATTTTTCTCTACCACCGTTCAACCGGTGGCTGGGCATTGCGTCATTTTTCTCTACCACCGTTCAACCGGTGGTTGGACATTACGTCATTTTTCTCTACCACCGTTCAACCGGTGGCTGGGCATTACGTCATTTTTCTCTACTACTGTTCAACCGGTGGCTGGGCATTAAGTCATTTTTCTCTACCACTGTTCAACCGGTGGCTGGGTACTATGTCATTTTTCTCTACCACCGGTAATGCGGTGGGCAGGGTCAAAGGTTTAAAAAGAATATACGAATAGGAAGGAAAGAAGGCAAAGAAGCAGGAAAAGTAATACCGTGTTTCTTTCTTGACCACGGTGGGGGTGGAAGTAAGTGAAAAAAAAGAAAAATACTGATGAAGGAAAAAGTCGATGATAATGAAGTAATAAAGTTGATAACGAAGTTAGAATTTCGATCCGAACGCTTTATTTCGTCCAACGGGGTAGATTGTTCTAGTTCCACGTGCCATGCCCCGTCCGGATGCCTCAGTTATTTCCCTTTAACTCAACTCTCTAAGTGTTTGGTTCACCACTGCTGTGGCGTGGTATCGGACTCTAGTCACTAGGTCTTACCAACGTCTTTATCCACTGAGCCATGTGACCTGAAGTAAGCTAGAGCGTACAACAGCCGAAACGTTGTGAATATGGAACTGAAGGTAAGGATAACAGTCCGAATAATGTAAATAACGCAAGTAATCATAATAACTCATCTCAGAGATATAGACAGATATTGTAGAAAAATTCCAATTCCCTGAAGAATGCCGTAGCGTACAACGGCCGAAACATTGTGAATATGGTAATGAAGCTGAGGATAACAGGCCGAATAATGTAAATAATGTAAGTAATCATAATACCTCATCTCAGAGATATAGAGGCTGAAACGTTGTGAATATGGCAATAAAAATGAGGATAGTAGTCCGAATAATGTAAATAATATAAGTAATCATAATACCTCATCTCAGAGATATAGAGGCTGAAACGTTGTGAATATGGCAATAAATATGAAGATAACAGTCCGAATAATGTAAATAATGTAATTATAATACCTCATCTAAGAGATATAGTGAGCAAAAGAGATAGCTCAAGGTGTTAGCTATGTATTTGGACATTTCTCGTCTGAGTCCATCTTTCAAATCTACAAATAACCATTCATCCTTGCATTAAATACTGCTGCCATAAATGTTCTGCTGGTCCCGCTGTTCATCTGGTGGTCCTCGACAAAATCCGGAGACGGATATACAATGGCATAGGTCGTGTTCTGGCATCTCGTCTACAGTCACTTTCTCCCAGACGTTCTCTGGCTTCCCTCTGTCTTTTCGACAAATATTTTCATAGCAACTGTTCTGGCGAGATACTTTCACTGTTTCCTACACTGCATGAATTTAAGCGTGCTACAACGTTGACATCTCGGTCCCACCCTTTCACTGTCGAAACAGTTAAATGTAACCGCCTCTTCTACTCCAACAGCTTCTTCTCTCGCACTTCCAGACAGTGGGACTCCCTTCCTCTTACTTGCTTTCCTGGGAGCTATAATCTTCAAATATTTAAATGTAATGTCACTCGACATCGTCTAATGCCTTGATCTTGATCCTCGTCCTTCTCTTAATCCTTTCACCAAACAACCTTCTTTACTATTGCTCTCACTCCCTGTAGCCCCTTGCGTGTTGGTTGCATTTGCAACTTGCTTGGAATCATATGCTTAAAAATTGCCAGAATCTAGAAGCTATGAAAATATTAACTCTCAGGGTAATGCAATAACAAAAGTCTGAAATTATTCTACAGAAATAAAAAAAAATAGCGAAAGATGTCTTGCAGAAACGAAGCAATGTATTAAGAGATTGAAAAATACCGTTAGTAGTAAATAAAAAAAAAGTGCTGAATTCTATGTAATATCTCTACTTCTATAGGCCAGATAATTTTAAACAAGTCCCTTGAAGGAATGACTTGAAATGAGAAATATGTCGTCTACAGACATATGCGAAGAATACAATGGAAAAAAAAAAATATATATTTTTGGATTTTTTGTTACGTCTTACCAACCAGTTTTATATTTTTCAATTTTCTTGCGATTGAATCTCATATAAACATTTTTTTTTTTGGCATAATAAATGATTTTTCCAGATACATGTCCTGGCTATCGATTGGTTTAAAATCTGGAGAATTTCCGGACCAGTCTATAGTACTTTTCATTGGCTCACTGATAAGGCTTGCCATTGTGTACGTGGTACAATTTTTTTCCTTGAAGTAACGTCCAGCGCAGAAAATAGTCATAGGACAACTAATCGACAGTCGAAACAATAGTGTCTGGGCGTGATAAAAATTTGATGCAATCAAAGCTGACGCAATATTTTTCAAGGCCAAACAAATTTCATCATACAGACCGAAAATGGATTCATATTACTGCATAACACTGCAAATGACCTAATCTGAGGAAAAAATAGAAATCAATTACACTCTGTCACCCCAGTGGGTCTAAAACTGACCGTATGGTGAAAGAAAGGAAGCTGTTGTTTCAATTAATTTTCACAAGGGTGTACTAGCTAAGACCTTTAGTAGACTATATAAATATATATCTGTCTGAAGTTTATCTCAAGAAAGTTTGCTGAAAAAGATATTTAATAAAATGTATCATCACAGTTTAGGTAGATACGACCAAAGCATTTGTGGACATAACAAAAAATATACCACGTGGCTTTTTTAGGGGCAAATAAATAATATAATTCTGGAGCCAGTGTTCTTTACGAAAAAGTGTATAAAACTCACATGTTGCGAGCTACTGAAGAGATTTTTCCAATTTGGCTGTTCAACTTTAATATTGCATTTGGTGTAATTTCATCAATAGTACTATCTCTTGGCCCATCTAGGGCCACAAATAATGAATATTATTATAAAAATTCAACTGCGGAAGATGAGGATGACGTTTTAGTGTCTTCTATCGATCCTCCCCTTTCAAAAAAACTAATCGACAGAAAAATGGTACCCTACAGAAATGAGTACCATTGTGAATAGTATCATTATCTAACGTCACTTCAATTATCTTCTGTAGGTAATATGGAGATATACAGGCAGAATAGCTATCAGCGGAAAAATGAACCAAAGAAAAGATTATATTTTCCC